GTGAGGTAGTTAAAAACCATCATAAGATTGTGTAACTCATTTTAAAATTAAGATCTGTAACTCCACAGGAATAGAGGAAGTGCATGAGATAAGTGGACCAGCTAGAAATCGGGTGGAAAGTGCCTGTAGGCTCTGAGTGGCTGTTCCTCAGCACTTTATCTGGAATAGCTACTCACTGATTGTCCAGTGCTGCTGAGCTTGTGCAGTAGGGCCAGCCCCTCTTCACATGAGACCCACCTGGCACAGATAGAAGAGTGATGTTGCCAGTCATTTTATTTCAGCCTAGACGATCTGTGTTCTTCTCTGAATGGAAATAAACTCATTCTAGTTGAAACTAGTTTGACAGATTATCCCCCTTGCCAGGCAGTAACTGGTGGAATACACGCTAAGCTTTTGTTATTGATTATCATAAAATAGTGTTTCTTGGACCATTAATACCTTTTATAATTTAATTTGTTTTTATACTTGGTATCTTAAAACTTTTAGTCTTAGTTTAAATTAAAATGGATTTGTTCATTACTACTGGTGATTCTCTAAATTTTAGGCTGTATAAACAGTCAGGTCTTAACAAGCCCTGACATAGCATGACCTTTAAACCCAACTGCTGCCCTCCCCCCAAAATATGGGACCCATCCGATTCACAAGGACATCCACTGCTACTATAAAATTGTACAGCTGGTGGAACACAAAGGCAGCACTGCGTTTTTGTTCCTGGGTTTAAAAATACATGTACTTCAGCTAAAATAACTCGATTAATGCCAAGAGCCAGTATAGAAATGGATTTTCCACTGTTCAAAGAGGCCAAAATTTCTGGAGGGAAAATTTCTGTAGCTAAACCTAAGTAATAAAGATTCAAAATGTATGTTGAACTTTCAAGCTTAAAAACTCTTGTATTGTTATCTGTGAAGCTGATTGTACTCTCAGGTCTTGGTTTAACATTTTTTTCCAGTAGAATCATTTGGACAGTGGTTTATGCTTAGTGTTAACTTTGGAAATTCTCACTAATTCATTATTAATGAGATATTAAGATACGAATTATATGTAAACATTTCAAGAATTATAAAGAAATCAAATTATCTTTTCCCCTTATTTGAGAAAACTGAACTAAGAATAACCTTAAGAACAAAGATCCGGGCTTCTTTCTGTGACTTCTTATGCTAGAGGACACACAGGGTTAGCTCCGTGTTGGTCTCGTTACATTCTTACTGTCCAAACTCAGCCTCCTAGGATTAGTGTAAGAATTTTAAGTGATATTTTAAACTTAGCTTTATCTTTTTATTAGAACTTATATTCTTACCATCCAGATTTGGTCTCATAAATTTATTATAAGAATTTTAAGAGATATTTGAAAAATAGTTTCGTCTTTTTACTAGAAAGTAGCTGTTTTCTAATGAAGGTATTAAATTTTTAAAATTACTGAAATCTCATACATTGCTGATGGGACTGTAAAGTGGTACAGCCACTCTGGAAAATACTTGGGCAGTTTCTTATAAAGTTAAACATATACCTACCGTATGGCGCAGCAATTGAACTCCCAGATACTTATCCTAGAGATAGGAACACTTAATTCACACAAAAACCTGTATGTGATTGTCCATATCAGGTTTATTTGTAATTGCCCAAAACTGGAAACCAACCCAAATGTTCAGAGGGTAAATGGATAAACAAATTGTGATATCCCGTACTATGGAATACTACTAGCCAAAATAAAAGAAAAAGAGTAAACTGCTGATATACCCAACAACTTGGATGGTACTTAAGGGCTTTATGCCAAGTGAAAAAGCCAATCTCAAGAGGTCACATGATTCCATTTATATAACATTTTTACAATGACAAAAATTGTAGTGATTGAGAACCAGTGGTTGCCAGGGGGTAGGGTTGGTGGGGAGCGCATGGCCATAACGGGGTAGCATGAGAGAGATCTTTGTGTTAGTGGAACAGTTCTGGATCATAATTGTGGTGATGGTTATACAAATCTGTACGTGTGGTTCATGGAAACCATGCACGCACAATGTTGTGAGTGAGACAAGCTGCTGACTGGCTCCACTAATACAGGATGAGTGGACTTCCAGTTAAGCATGGCACATTGGCCTCGTGTTTTTTCTCGCTTTCTTCTGCGAGTACATTAAAATGATGGCAAAAGAACTTTAAAAAAACCCCAGAAAACGAAATCCATCATGTAGAGACCTAAAAAAGGAAATACCAGTTGACAAAAGGCCTAAAGAAAGTTGGGGTGATAGAAAATGGGCAGAGGAATGGTAAATGCCTTAAGGGAACCTAAAGAACCTGCAGAGAGAAGTACTGATGAGAACTGAGCCACTCACCCCAGAGAACCCCAAAGGCTGAGGAGCAGGCCCCACAGAAGGTGGGGACAGAGGGGACAGACAGGGCTATAGCAGGAGTTCTTCAAGGTAGTTAAACTGCCAGGTTCCCTTTCCTGCCTCAGCCACCACTACCTCCAGCAGTGCCCTCTGCATGGCCGACCAGAGATTTAATCTCTGAATATATTGAATCAGAAGAGCTCTCAACTCAGAAACACCAGCCGATGGTGGAGGGAGCAGAGCACAGAGCTAGTAAAAGCCAGCTCAGTAAACTGTGGAATCCCCAGCCCCCTCCCTGACTGGGAAAGCTGACCGCAGGGTGACAGGCTGCTCCTCCCCCACTAATGATCGGGAATTAGAAACATCTTTGGAATGACCCGTGGCTCCTGGTTACAGTTGCATTGCCAGTTTGTCCGCAGCTGGCCTGCTGTCCAGTCACTCCGCCTGAAGCCTCCTAGTCCACATGCACCCTGAATACATACCCACTCGCACGGGCTTCCAGCCAGCGTTTGGGGGCTTTGCTCCTAAACACGAAGTGATCAAGGATCACAAGACATTTGAGGAAACACTCCAACACAAAAGACAGATGGATACCAAACAATGAGAAGAAAATAACCAGGAGATAACATGAGGAACTGGAAGGAAATACCCCAAAACTACAACTAGTTTATTCAGATAGGAGACAATATTGCATCCATGAAACAAGAACAGGATGCTTTTAAGAAGGAATAATAAAAAAACTCAACAGAGCCCAAATTCAAAATATATCAGAAGTTTTTAAAACATAGAAGAGTCAGAATGTAAAGTTGAGAATATGTGTCAGAGATGTAGAACAAAAAGTGGAAAATCAGAGAAAAAAGGTAAAATAGAGATTAACTCCAGGATGTGTAAAATCTTCATGAGAGTCCCACAAAGAGTGAAAAGCCAGGAAACAAAACAGGAACATTTTTCAGACCTGAAAGACATAATTTTCTATATAGATTAAGTAGGGTCTTTTGAGTGCCCAGTAAACTACATGAAAAAAGTACCCACACTGAGACAGACCATTATATAGTTTCAGAATCCAGGAATAAAGAGAAACCTTCCAGAAATAAGCCCCCAAAAAGTCATATACAAAGGAAGAAGAAATGATGGCCAACTTCTCAATAGCAAAACTGGATATTTAAAGATTGTGGAGCAATATCTTCAAAATTCTGAGGGAAAGTCACTTTCAATCTATAATACTCTAGCCAGCAAAATGTCAATCAAATGTCAAGGTAAAGATAATTTCAGACACGTGGGTACTCAAATTTACGTCTCACATGTCAATCTAGGAGAAGGATCTCCAGCAAATAAGAATAAATGAAGAAAGAGAAAGATGTGGAATCCAGGTAGTGACACGGGGCCAGAAAGGGACATGCAAGGGCGATAGCGTAGCAGGGACGGTCAGGCCAGACTGAGCAAGAGGCCCAAGAGTCCTTGGAGGAAGTGCTGGGGGAAAATGGAATGGAAGATTAGCTGACAACTTTGTGTGTTTGAAAAAAATAATACTGATAGGCTTCTGCCAGATCTGAGGAGCGTGTGGGAAAATTTAAGGTAGGTCCATAGAAAACGAAGCATGGGGGTGGGGAGATGAGCCAGTTGCTAATCCCAGGAGAAACAAACAGGCAGTACCAAGAAAGAAATGTAATCCTTAGTACATTCCTTGCTTTGTAGTGACCAATATTTACAGAGTAATAATAAACTCTGACTATTGACTTACCAGGAAATTGCCATTTAACTGTGTAGGAAGGATTGGAGAAGGGAAAGTGGGGTGCTGTGGAGGCCCAAGTCCTCATCTACTGTAGCAGAAAGCCTGTACTTACTGTCCAAAATTGAGAAATTAAGAATGTTATCAAAACTATGGCAATAAATGCAAGAATAACAGCTTCATTGAGAGTGCTCTTGAGAGTATGGCCGGGGGTGGGGAAAGGTGGTGAGACGGGTGGTTTTTCCAGATAAGCCTTTATCGCTGTTTGATAAAAGTTAGTTTGCTCTCTACTAACTCACAGTGGAGAACCTTTTATCCCAAACAGCATGTGTGTCAAGCATCTGCCCCTTTGAATGTTGTGTAGCTTTTCATTCTTTTTATTGCCTGGTCCTCTGCAGATGGCACACATTTGGGGCGAGGGGCTGAAGAGACTTGAGTGGTCTATCTGGAATGACTAATATTGTGAAGCTCATTGTGGAACAAATATGCAGTCACCACATGTTCTGAGTCAAGTCAGAGCCCCCTAGGAATGACTTCTTGTCTGTACAGGTTTACGATATTTTAAATTTAGACCAACATTCTCAATCATTGTGTAGAAGGACAACCATTAAACTCCTTAAACCCAAAAGGTGGCATCAGCTTCTAGGCCCACAGTCCCTACCGGGTGTGCCTAGCAGAGACGGCATGTCTGCTGCTTGCTCCGTTTACAGTAGGTTCTAGGCAGCCCTTGGGCAGCGGGGGAACTGCCAGGGTTCCATCCACCTCGCAGTGCCAGCACCTGTTCCATCAGTAAGGACGTATGTGCTCTTTGTTATTTTCAAATCACCATTCATAACTGTAGACTGTACTGTCAAGCATACATAGGCATCCCAGGCTATGTAGTAACAAAATCTAAAAATTACTTGGTCTGTGTTTGCTTATTTTATGAATTTGTTTGTTTTGTTTGTCAGAATGTTATGGAACAGTTCAATCCGGGGCTACGAAATTTAATAAACCTAGGAAAAAATTATGAAAAAGCTGTCAATGGTAAGTCAATTTTCTAAATTTATAAATATAGAGCACATCTAAAAGCCATTCAGTAAATATTTTACTTAATTATTTTTAAATGCTTAATACTGAATTTTTAAAATTCCTTTAAATTGGTAGAAATTATTTACAATTAACTTAATCTACAGAACTTTGCATTCATAGGATGTTAGTGTATTTGAAATGAGTAAATTTCATAATAGGCTACTAGGAGTAATTTTAATTATCAAATCATGCCTTTTGACGTGGTTCAATCGTTTATATTATTGCCATAAACATGTTTTCTACTTTTTGAACCAAATTCTTTGTGAACTAATAACATATATGAAATGTATAATTAAAATATTTATGTTAGGGTCCTACAGCATAAGAATTATTCTCCTTTTATTTATATAGAAGAATTTCTTGACTTTGGGTGTACTTTTGATAGTAACATGAGAAATCAAACTTTTAGCCTGAATGGAAAAACGTCTCAATTAAAGGTTGAACTTAGATTCTTATTTCAAAATGAGAGCTTCCTTTAAAATGAATATGAGTGTTGGCTTTTGTCTCTCTGGGAACCAGAGTTGTTTGCTAGTTTGAAGAGGTTTCAGTGGAGGAAGCGGACGTGCATGTAACACACACTTTTTCCTACTAAAAGGCGAATGTTGTCAATGATCACCTTAAACGCTCAAGGTGCTAGTAACCACCACATTCTAACACAGTCAACACAGTGTTCCCCAGGTAGCAATCGTCAGACCCTGGAGTCACCCCCCGCCCTGGTTCATTAAGACCAAGTAGAACATCTAGTCGCCAACGGTTTTAGACTTGAAGAAGGCGTCAGCTCAAGTGTTGTGTCTTTTACAGAGCTCTTATTCTCCCTTTCACCTTGCCCCGCCTGCGGGTGCTCCCTGTTGGTGTTTTGGAAATAACCTGTGGCTTCCCACACCTTCTGCATGAGCATGCCCCGGGAAAGGGGGTGTGCTGACGAGACTTTCCATGACGGGTGCCGCATTGTTGTAGTTACTGGAAAAGTAAACTGCTTATTTACTTCTGGATCTCTGTGCTGTTTGCCAGATGTTTTCAGCGTCAGGAAATGCAACAGGCCTGGGATCTGCTCTCCCCCACCCTCCAGCAGTATCGGTGGCTTCTGCAAGTGCCCCCTCAAAGAGCAGGAGCCTTGTTGTGGAAGTCTTGCACAGCTGACGGCTCCCTGGATGACTGCTTGGTCACAAGACTGCAAAGTCATTGCTTTAGATGCCCCTGTGAAGGACATCGCTGTGACCTGCAGTGACTTTTTTTTCTTTCTAGAATTTGCTACCTCTCTGAGGCAGTTTACAAGGTGACTTAGTGAGTAGCCTGCAGCTTAGCCTCCTGCTAAAACAGCTTCTCCCCCAAAGGGCTCTTATCACTTTAGCACCTCCTGGGGACTGTTCCACAGTTTTCAGGTATGTCCAGAATTTCTGCAGGCCATCTGGTTTTTGCTGAAGCTATTGAGAAATTGAGATAAATTTGTAAAGTCCTTGGTAAAAATTTATGGTATAGTTGAGGATGCCAGATGTGCAGTCAATAGTTAGATTATAAGTCAAGATAACATGCACAGCTAACAAAGAGCAAGGGATGAGCAGTGTCACTGGAATTTGAGCCGTGGAGGTGGGGGTGGGGAGACAGAGTAGGGAGGAGGCCTTGTAGGAGCTGAACTAGCTGATAGATGTTGGATTTCAGTAGGCGGATGCTGCATGTGGGTACTTCAGGCAGAAAAGACAGTATCCAAGCCAAGACCTGCAGTCCACACTGACATGGGTGAGAAACTGTTGGGGAATACTAAAATATATATGGTGGAGTAGGGTCAGATTATTAATACATTTTAACACAGCATCAGTTACCTATTGCCACATAACAGACTACCCCTAACCTTGGCTTAAGACACAGTAATTTATTATTTATCATGCTCCTATAAAGGCAGTTCAGCTCTCTGGACTCCTGGGGCTCAGCTGTGAGCTGGACTAGGCTGAAGGCTGGGCCACTCCCTCCTGCAGGCACAGCAGGATGTTCTAAGAGTGCAAGCCCCTGTGGGAGTTATGTTTGCTGGGGCCCCATTGGCCAAAGCAAGTCACATGACCAAGTGTGTAGGGGGCTACACAGGCTGAGAATCCTGGGAGGTGTGATTCATTGAAGGCTGCAGTACGGGCTTACCCATTGAGCAGTAGGAGGCCCTTGAAGGTTTTTGAGCTGAACTGTACCTGATGAAATCATATTTTAAGGAAGAATTATCTGGTAGAAGTAGGTAGATTAGATTGATGAAGTAGTTGGTCAACCACTAAAATAGAACTAATATGAGAGTGCTGTAAGCATCTTGGTGGAGTAAGAACACTCCATTGTTTCTCCCTTTAAATTTACAAGTTAGACAACTGTAACTCAACAAAGGATCCCCTGCTTAACACATAAACACACCTGAAAGATCCATGCATTGGGACATCTGAAGGTGGGCATATTGGAACAAGTGGGGGAGGCATGAGAGGAACAAGGACAGGAATGGTAGCCCCAGAAGTAGTTCAGCACTCACCACTGCTCCAGCCAGCCTGGTTGTGGGGGAGTTGGGCTGCAGCCCTTAAACTATGGCCTGGAGCTTAAGAGGGGCAGAAGCAGTTTCCCTCCCTGAAAAGACATCTCTCTCCCTCCGTCTTTGCCCCCATCACAGCAGAATCAGGTGGAGGTGGCTGGGAATTTTTAAATAACAGTGGGGGCAACAGCCATAACTGAAAGAATGGACAGAACCATGAGATCCCAAACTTGCCTCTTCTCCACATGCCCTGGCAGAGCCCAGTAATGCCAAAAACACAGCAGAAAAAGGAGGTAGCTCTGGGAGTTCACAAAACCGGTTCTCCAACACCCTCCACATTCCCCCACCACAGTGGCGGTATCCCATAGCCAAGGTGAGCTCGTCACAGAGAGGACACCCACCATTCCAGTGGATACACGGTATTTTCCTTAACTGAAGTGACACTGCTCCACCACAGTCCAGAAGTGCAAATAGTGCAGGAAAGAGAAAACAAAAACTTGCACTAAAGCACCACCTACTGGAAAACAAAAGAAAGTACCCTACCTGCTGAATTGTTGAGAACAAAACTGTATCTAAACAAGAGAGTGCTACCTCAAATGCACAGACAGAGAAACAATCCACCCGATATCATGAACAATCAAGATAAAATGTGAGCATAGAAAGAAAATGAAAAGTCTCTGGAAACTAAATCAAAGTCATGGAAAACTGTGATTTAAATAACAGAGAATTCAAGATTGCAATTATGAAGACACTCAAGGATATACAAGAAAACTCAGAAAGGCAGTTCACAGAACTCATGAATAAAATTAGTGAAGAGAAAGAATACTTTACCAAAGAGATTGAAACTGTAAAAAAGAGCCAAACAAATTCTGGAGCTGAAGAACTCAATAAATGAGATGAGGAATGCATTAGAGAGCATTGGAATAGAGTAGTCCAGATGGAAGAGAGAATTAGTGACCTCAAAGATAGAAACCTAGAAATGACCTAGGAGGAAGAAGAGAGAACTAAGTTTAAGAAAATGAAAGACCTCTACAAGAACTATCAGACTACATTAGAAAGAGCATCATAAGGATAATAGGTATATCAGAGGGAGAAGGGAACGGAGAGCCTACACAAATAATTGCTGAGAACTTCCCAGGCCTATGGAAACAACTGGAATTTATAATAGAGGAAGCTAACAGAATACCTAACTATTGGGTTGTCGGAAAAGTCATGACGTATTTTGTCTGTTTTCAGAGGTCATTTATTTATATAAAGAACAAAGATCAATCAATGATATATTGCCCGTTTTGTTCGATAACCTTTTGCCATCTTTCAGTGAGCTTCATAATTCCTCATTCGTAGAAGGACCTGTCTTTATTTGCGAAAAACTGAACAAAGTGCTGATTTACAGCTTCATCTGAATTGAACGTTATACCACACAAGGAGTTTTGAAGAGAGGGAAACAAGTGGAAGTCTGATGGCACAAGGTCAGGCGTGTACGGTGGGTGTGGCAACACATCCCATCCAAGCTCTAATAATTTTTGACGGGTGATCAAACTTGTGTGTGGTCTCGCATTGTTGCGATGGAACACAACTCCTTTACAGTGAACAAGCTCTGGACGTTTCTGGATGATGGATTCGTTCCAACTGTCTAATTGCCAACATTTGAATTGATTGTTTTGTTCCTTGGTAGGAGCTCGAAAAACACGAGATCTTTAAAATCCCACCACATGGGGAGCAAACCTTCCTTTGATGAATGTCTGCTTTCCATGTTGTTTGAGGCTAATCATCACGTTGGGACCAGGCCCGTTTGCGCACCACATTGTTGTAAACAATCACTTCTCATCACCAGTTATCAGTCGCTTCAAAAAAGGATTGTTTTTCTCATGTTTAATGAGCATATTGCAGATGTTTATATGCGCCATCAAATGAACTTCTTTGAGTTCATGCAGAACCCAAATATCAAGATTGCTTACGTATCCCAGCTTCTTTGAGTGGTCGTGAACACTTGAATGATGGATATTCAATGTTTCTGCAATCTCTCATGTCATGTAACGTGGGTTTTACTCAATCAATGCCTTTATTTTGTCGTCATCAACCTCGGTGGGCCTCCCTGACCAAGGAGTGTCGTTGAGATCAAAATCACCAGCATGGAATTTCATGAACCATCATTGACACTGACATTCTTGTAGAGCATTGTCACCGTAAACTTTATGCAACTTTTCACAAGCTTGACACGCGTTCTTCCCTTTATGGAAGTAAAACAGTAAAATATGGCAAAAATGCACACTTTGGTCTTCCATCTTCAACTTGTAAAATCTCCAGAGCTCAACCAATTTTTTTTTTTAAGAATGAAGCTAGAACTGTCAGCTGTCAAATAGCAATAACATAGATGCGAATGACTCTAGACTTCCAAAAATGAACTAGTGCCACCTGTTCCAAACATGCATCATGATTTTTCTGACAACCCAACATATTAAAGCAATAAGACCTTCTCCAAGGCACATGTTATTCAAACTGTCAAAAATTAATGACAAAGAAAAAATTCTCAAGGCAGGCGGGGGGAGATTGTAACCTACAAAGTAAACCCCTCCTAGGTCATTTCTAGGTTTCTATCTTTGAGTTCACTAATTCTCTCTTCCACCTGGACTGCCCTATTTCCAATGCTCTCTAATGCATTCATCATCTCATTTATTTTTTCAGCTCCAGAATTTGCTTCCTTTTTAGATTATGATCAGATTTCTCAGTAGAAACATGACAATATGGGAGAGAGTGGAAGGAAATGTTCGAAATATGGAAAGAGAGGAACCATCAGCCAAGGATAATATATCTAGCAAAGTTATCCTTTAGCTATGAAGGAGAAATAAAAGTTTTTCCAGACAAACAAAAGCTGACAGGATTTGCCACCATAAGATCTGCATTACCAGAAATGTTGAAAGGAGCTCTTCCACTGGAAACAAAAAGACAGAAGTATATGAAACTTTGAATAGATGATTAACAGAAGCAGGAAACTGCCAAGACAAAAGTATATAAAACTTTGGATAGATGATTAACAGAAACAGGAAACTGCCAACCTACTTCAAAATAGGTTATAAAACACTCAGTTGTAACATGTGAAGGGGAAGGGCATTAAAAATGACTATTCTGCAATTTCGTAATGAATGCATAACATAAAAGGGAAAATTTGTGACAAAATAGTAACAGGAGAGGAGGTAAAGGGCTGAACAAGTACAGGTAAATGAAGATAAGAGGCAATTGGGAGAAAAAGAACTATTATATGTATGAGATATTTTATACAAGCCTAATAGTAACCACAAAGCAAAAATCCAGAGCTGAGACACAAAACAAAAAAAGAGGAAACAGAAAAAATAATAGAAAACCACCAAACTGAAATAGCAGCTAGAATCATAAGGGAAAAGAAACAATGGCGATACAGAGCAACCAGAAATCAGAAAGATTAAATGGCTGTAGTAAGTCCTCCTTTATTAATAATTGCCTTAAATGTAAATGGACTGAACTCACCAATCAAAAGGCACAGTAGTGGGATGGATTAAAAAACAAGACCCAACTACATGTTGCCTGCAGGAGACTCATCTCAGTTCCAAAGAACACAGGCTCAAAGTGAAGTGGTAGAAGATAATACTTTAAGCAAATGGACTCACTCAGGAAAAAGAGAAAACACTCAAATAAAATAAAAAATGAAAGAGAAGTTACTGTGGACACCACAGAAGTACCAAGGATTATACAAGAATACTATGAAAAGCTATATGAAAAAATATATATCAACAACAAAAAAACAAGCAATCCGATTAAAAAATGGGCAGAGGATGTGAACAGACACTTTTCCAGGGAAGACATACAGTTTGCCAGCACATATATGAAAAGATGCTCAACATCACTAGTTATGAGGGAAATGCAAATCAAAACCACAATGAGATACCACCTCACACCTGTTAGAATGGCGATTATCAATAAGACAAGAAATAAGTGTTGGTGAGGATGTGGAGAAAAGGGGAACCCTCACACACTCCTGGTGGAAATGTGAATGGGTGCATCCTCTATGGAAAACAGACTGGAGGTCCTCAAAAACTTAACAATAAAGTTACCACATGACCCAGCAATCCCTCTTCGGGACACCCAAAAAATTAGAAAACACTCATAAAGATATGTGTACCCCTATGTTTATTGTAGCATTAGTCACAATAACCAAGACACAAAAACAACCTAAGTGTCCTTTGACAGGTGACTGGATAAAGACGATGTGGGTACATACAAGCATATACAGTGGAACACTACTCAGCCATAAAAAACTCAATGAAACTGCCATTTGTGACAACATGGTTGGATCTTGAGAGTATCATGCAAAGTGAAATAAGTCAGAAGGAAAAGGACAAGAACCCTATGATTTCACTCATGTGGGCTATAAAACAAAAAGCGACAAGTGGACAAACTCATAGATACAGACAATAGAGTGGTGCTTTCCAGGGGGAAGGTAGGTAGGGGAGGATGAAGAGGGTAAAGGGGGTTAAATAAATACATGGTGATGGAAGGAAACTAGACTTTGGGCGGTGAGCACACAATATAGCAGACAGGTGTCGTATTATAAAGTTGTATACCTGCAATTTATAAAATGTTTTAGCTAACGTTCCCCCTCCGAATTAAATAAATAAATAAAGGGAAGCATTATGTTTCATTCCTTAAAACAAGAAGTGGGGGCCGAAATTGTGAAAACATTATTTTATTCCTTATTTTGGATAAATTATATAGTTTTTCATGTTAATTCAACTTTATCATAAAAACAAGGATATTTTACTAGACTGAGAAGGTCAAATAGTTTTAAACATAAGTCAACAGTTAATGAAAATTTTTGATTGAATGTGTGGGTTCAAACCAAAAATTTTGTTTAAATATTGTGTAATCCTGTATACCATTCTCCCACTAATTTTCTTTTCAGTTTATCAGTACCTTGCAATTTAAAATCTTCATACTAAAATTTTGCATATATTAACTTGACAGTTTACTGGCTACAAACCTGTTTTTAGGTGGAGTCATCTCTTTCTCAGTTTTAACTGAGGCCAAAGAATCAAAAAGCACCATAATTTAGAACTGAGTAAGTACATTAGCTGGAGTTGGGTGCACTCCCTCTGACTTGCCACTGACCTTGGGAATGTCCCCAAATATCTCCACTCCACTCCCCTTCATGACACAGGTTGATACCATCACCAACCCATATCTTAATGTTGTCAGCTAGAACAACTTAAGTAATGATTTGGAAAGTCTACATAAATGCTACTTGTTATTGTTCTTTTTTATAATTATACTTTAAGGTTATCCACAGTCTTATGAAATAACTGTATAGGAGAACATTATATTTCCTAAACTTGTATACATATATAGTAAAAACCATAACTTTTATAATTTTTAATTCTGTAAGAAATGCCAAAATGGACTGATTTGTCATGAAAATACTACTTTTTTGGCCTGTAATATCTTTAGCTGGACTTGTACATTAATTTATCCTATGACAACCTCCCACACACACCTTTTTTTATATGTTAAATGCCTTTTTTAATCCACCTGTTAAAAACAATACCCATTATAAATTGAGGCAGAAAACTTTGTTGTAGAGCGAAAGTGGGAGTTGGCATAAGCGACTTGCATTTGTTTGTCCATTGCTGACGCTGTTAGGGCATTTTCTAGATGACCATCCTTTGTTTCAGAAAGAATAGCTAGCTTGCCCAAGGGGAGGCCACATCGTTAGAAGTAAAGGTAGAATTTAAATCCAGGTCTGTCTTGCCCCTGACTCCCCTCTACCTCTCACCCACCCTCCCACCCCCTGCAAAAAAAAGAAAGAAAAGGAAAGGAAAAACGAATCAAAATCCAGATTTCTGTAACTTATAATTTAGTCCTCAGAATCAGTTTGAAAGGGGAAATACTATTTTTAAGATATTTAGAATCCAACTTGTATAGCAATAGAAGTTTTTCTTGTCTCTGCCAAAAAGGTGGAGTGGGGGAAGTAGAGCATTAAGTTATTTTTCAGGTAATTCTGTTGTTTTTTTGGAAGGATAATGTATTGCAAATTTCATGGATTTTGCCCCCCCCCCCCCCCCGGGGCACAAGTATGTTGTTTGTGTCTCAGAATGTCTTTTTCAATAGAAAAAGTGAAAATGCCATTGAAGGACCAGGTTCTTAGGCCATCCCACACAAGTCCCTCTAAATAGAATCCAGCAGACCTGTATTGCCGTAAGAATCACAGCACGGAAAAGATTGTTTTGCCTGGATGGATGTGTTCCCAGCCCTAATTCAATGTTAGGAACACATCCACTCTGGAGCCGGCATTAGGAGCAGGCAGGGCCTTCTCTAGACTTCTAGGGCCTGCTGCCGAGGTTCCCCAGGGCCGGTCTGAGGCAGGCGAGGACCCCATGGGGAACTGCAGTGGAGGGACTCCTGCCCCCGCACAGCCGTCAGGCACAAGCCCTGCCTTCTGAGAGCCATGCTTGCTGCAGCCAGAAGGGACAGAGATGTTTGGGAGAAAACCTCTGTGTCGTTTCCGCCTTTCCTTATCTAAGTCATAATTTTGTGTGTCACCTTCCCTGTCTAGCTATGATCCTGGCGGGAAAAGCCTACTACGACGGAGTGGCCAAGATCGGTGAGATTGCCACCGGGTCCCCCGTGTCCACTGAGCTGGGTGAGCTGACTGTCCGTGATGTATAAACTTAACGTGAGCCGCGGTTTCGGGGCCTTTCATCCTGTGGGTGCCTATAGGAACACGTGGAGTGGCCTGGTCCAGAACGGAAAGGAGAGCTAGCCCGGCATTCCGGTTCGTTAACCCAGCACCAGTTTGCTCACTTCTGGGACGACCGAGTTCACGGAGGCCTGTCGAAAGTGGAGGCTTAGTTAGAGGGCAGGCCACGGCCAGTGCCCGGCCTCCCTGCTCCCTAGGAACTGGGCTTGTGTTCTGAGCTTGGGCCCACCTCTTCCTGGGCTCCCTGCAGCACAAAGCCAGCCCAGGGAGCTTTGACCTACATTCTAACTGAAGGAGAATGGTGCGCCGGGCCTCCCGGCTCTGCAGCGTTTCCTGTGACTCACCTAGCAGAAAGCCGGAGTCCTTTACGTTCTGTCCTTGGCTCTTGCCGCTTCCACAGTTGCTCTCAGTTGCAATTTTTCCGGTTTTGCTGGTATGAATTGGTCTCCTGTGCACACACGGAGGGCAACCACGCCCCGGGCAGTGCCAGCTGCAGAGGGAATCTGGGTTTCTCCTTACAGAGCCAGTTCCGTGTACCATCATCTCCTAAGGGGGGAAAGGTCATTTTTTTTAAATAGCCCCACACATAACCATCGTTTTTAAAACTTGATGAATGTGTTTAGTTTTACAAAGGGTAAAATTCCTGGCTTCAAAATGTTTGTTATAATTTGGAAGGTTCAGAAAACCAGAGGAAAAGATTGGTAAAGTGTATGTCTAAAGAAACATGGGCCTGTCTCCAATTAAAAAGTGGAAAAGGAAGCAGAGGAGGGCTACAGGAGCATGCGTTTAAGGTTCAAGTAATTCACACCATTTCTAAATGAAGTGTCTTGGGGGCTTTCACCATTGCTTGGAAAACTCTTAACTGACCCATAAAAGTGGAGGAACAAATCTGAGGTGTGAGGACAGCGCTGAGGTTGGAGGCTGGGCTGCTGGGTGTGACGTGGAGCTGCGTGCGTGCTCATTAACATTCTCGGACAGGTTCTGTATTTGGAGAGTTTTTATAAAGAGTCTTAAAAACCTATAGACAAAACCTAAGCCTGATGTGATGCTGTGTGATGAGTAAGTCAGTACTGCTATATTTAATAGAATCAATTACATGCAAAAAATTTTTCAAAACCCTGACTCGTGTACTGTTGTTGGTGCCATAACGTCTGCATGTTCTGGCAGGGACTGAGGTAGAGTAACTCTGTGCTAATAAGCAGGGTCAATTTAATAAAATACACGCTGCGTTATATAGACAGAAGAAGATAGTAAAACTTGGGACATTGGAGGGGTGGCCGAGATGATTATAGGGTTCCAAAAACTAGGACTAAATGAAAAAGAAGCATCTTGTTTGTGTCAGGCGTGGGGGGGATTTTACATTACAGCTGGTGGTGCTCTGACTCAGTGTCATTCAGTTTGACGTTTTTTATGTTTTATGGTTCTTGCCACTGTTTAAATAAGACTTCTGTTCCACGCCTTATTTTATTCAGCTGTGAGTTCATAATGTTGAATTAGCTATTTCCACAGCAACCGTGTTGTTATAAACACAAGCTTAAGACTTCAGTTTCAATAAGGAAAATGTTGCAATGGTGAAGTTTCTTTCATGTGTGTATGTATTTAGTCAGAGGGAATAGAAATAACTTATGTTGTGTTTTATTTTTGTTTCAAATTGTCCTTTTGCTATATTCTCTATCTCATATAGTTACCAATTTTCTACTCATTTACAGCAACTCTGTGGTAGCATGGCATCCTAGTAAGAGGATACCTAATACTAACTTTTTGATTTGCTTAGTTTTTTTTTATTTTGTTGTTAAAGTTTAGACTGAAATACTACCCTGTATCTGTTTGAATTCCCTGTATGGAAGAATAGTGGACAATTCATAGAAAAAAAGAGAGACCTAAGGTAGATTGTATTTTTCTCATTTTTCAAGAAGATTTTATTGTCTAGTTACTCTTGGTATTGGTGTTCATAACTTTGTTATGAAACGTATGTTATAAATCCCATCTGACAATACTGAAGGGGAATTACATATGTGAAGATCATGAATCATTTCAAAATTTTCATGCCTTAAGAGTATTGTCTCTGAAAAACATTTGTTTTCCCACATAAAAAAATCTATAGTTTAAAATTTTTCAATTTAAAAATATTGCTCTAGGAGTAAGAGAAAGGGACGCTGAAGGACTCTATTTCTAAAACGTTATAAAAGTAGATTTTATGTTAATGTCGAATTAAAATATTTTTAATGTTGCTATAGGATACATAACCTTTTTCATTTCATACATATTTTTACATGAAACGTGCATTATGTTCTGATACTTTTGTACTTTGGAAGGTAGGTGAAGAAAATACACTCTGGGTAGAATATGTACTTAGTTCATAGAAATTTATAGAGAGGATTCAACTTGGAAATTTCGCCAAATCCATTATGAGTGTCATTCAGGCTGGCGGAGCTGAGCATTTCAGCCTGGTCTCCATAAGGCGGGGCAGGAAGCTAGAAGCTGGAGGAGAACGCGGACGAGCCGTTTACTTCCTGTCTGTCTTTTGGACGGGCCTCGAGTGGGGCGAAGCTGCAGCAGTGCCATCTCTAGCTTTGGGTGTTACCCTTTTCATATCCCGCTTTCAGCATCCGCTCATCCAATGATATGTGACTACTGTAAGATACTTTTTGCCCGAAAGTAACGAAATACCCAGCTAATAGTGGTTTAAACAATGAGGATGTTTGTTATCCCACATAAGAAGGCTGTTGTTAATTTTCTTATAATGTTTTTATAACAGCTTTATTGAAATAATTAAGATATAGTACAATTTGCCCATTTAAAGTATACAGTTCAGTAGTTTGTAGTATGTTCACAAGGTTTTCAATAAATTATCATCACAATTAACGTTAGACTATTTTCATCACCCCAAGAATAAATCCCATGCCCATTAGCAGCCATTTCCCATTCACCCCCAACTCCAGCCATACGCCACCATCAACATATTTTGTCTCTATAGATTTGGTTATGCTGGGCATGTCATATAAATGGAATCACACAATATGTGATCTTTTGTGACTGGTTTCTTTCACTTAGTGTAGAGATTTCAAGGTTCATTCATGCTGTAGCATGTATCAGTACTTGTCTTTCTCTTGGTTGTGTATTTAAGAGTGGAATTGCTGCTCACATGGTAACTCTAAATTTAACCTTTAGAGGAACTGCCTGACTTTTTCAAAGTGAAGGCACCGTTTTACATTCCCACAGCAGTGTGTGAGAGTTCCCGTTCCTCTACACCCTTCTCATCACTTGTTATTGTCTCTTTTTTATTATAGCCATCCTAGTGAGTGCGAAGTAATATTTCATTTCGGATTTGATTTACATTTCCCTAGTGACTGATGACATTGAGCATCTTCTTACATTCTTATTGGCCTTCGCTCATCTTCTTTGGAGAAATGGCTATTCAGATCCTTTGCTCATGTTTTACTGGGTTGTCTTTGTATTATTGAGATTGCAGATTAACTTTTAGTAAAGTTTAGTTTTTATGCTTTAATTCCTTTTTATCATTTCTGCAGTAGTTCCATTGCTTGAAGCTCTTGAGGGTCTAATTCTGCTTGATGCTGTTCTTGTGCCCCTTGATTCTCATTCATGAAGGAGCCTTCCTGTAAGGGTTTTATTGGCATCTTGTGGCTCCTCTTCATGCTGGGCTCATCTATGGAGGCATTGCAAGTCACCAAGAAATGCAAAGGAGAAATGCCAGGCAACGGTGGGGCTCCTCTGATTTAATTAATATAGTTTACTTCTTAGAAACTAAATAGTTGATGTAATATGACTTGCCTTTTGATAAAAATTCTCATAACATATTTAGGAGTTCTACAGGTTTTGCAGGGGGAGGTGACTCAGACTTTATGGAAAATACTTCAATGTAAATATCCAAAATTTGTAAGTTATTTAATTACCTGAAAGTTAAGAAATAATAGCAGATTTTAGTTTTCTATAAATCTTGCAGATACATACCCTTCCCCCAAAAAAGTCATTTCCTGATCATTTTCTCTTGAAAATAAAAGGTCCTTTATGAATAATCTGTTCTCCCATTTAGAGAATATACAGAAAATGTGTCATTGCTTTTTTCAACTGTAATTAAAAGTGATAGGAAAATATTAATGATTCAAGAGAAATACCAAATTCTAGTCACTTTTATGCTGAATGCTCTCAACCACTTGAAGATTAAGAATTGGCATATATTTTGAAGTCCCTTTCAAATTCATTTTGCTGAAGCATCACCTTGTATCAGTTGTGCCTTAACTGCCAGGTCTAACAAACTCGAGCCAGGGGGCTGGCCAGCACCTGTTTGTAAATAAAACTTTACTGGCACGCCGACATGCCCATTGATTGGTTCGTGTGTTGTCTAGGGCTGCATTCAGGCCACAGTGGCAGAGCTGAGTGGTTGCAGCAGAGAAGTTTGACCCATAAAGCCCCTTAACCCAATGGTGGAAGACCGTTAGTGTCATACAATTACTTAAATGTGAGAACTGAGTGATCTTGGGAGGGATTCGATAGCCTTTTCTCCAAAGAAAAAGCAGTTCCTCAGCACGTGCTGTCTGGTTGGGTTTAGCATATATTCTCAGCATGAATCTAACCACCACAGCCAGAAGAAGGTCAAGAGCATAACCCTCCTGCCTTGTTGGGAGGCATGAACAAACAAATGAAAAACCAGAGCTCTGTAGTCAGGATTTGGCAGGTAAAATATTTTAATCTGCTGTGTTTAACTGTTAAATAATAAGCCACATGAATAATTGATGTGACTCAGGTTGTCAGGGTGTGTTCCTGTAGTCACACACATAAATCTTTATCACATACACAGCTCAGCTCAAGGAACAGTACTTGTTTAAAAGAGAAAACTGAAATTTATGTGAAACTTCCAGTTTTGTCCCTAAATCAAACAACATTTATTTTTAAAAACTTAGAACATATTGAAAAGGTAGAAA